TTTTTGGTTGCGGGGCTTGAACTCTGGGCCTGGGTGCTGTCCCTGAGTTCTTCAGCTCAAGGCTAGCGTTCTACCACTTGAGCCACAGCACCACTTCAAGCCTTTTGTGTTTATCTGGTGCTGAGGAATCGAACCCAGGGCCTCATGCATTCAAAGCAAGCAATGTACTACTGAACTACCTTCCCAGCCCCTCTTGGTGGTTTTAAAATGTATAATTCAGTGTTTTAACTATATTAACTATATTTATAATCGTGTGCACCAGAATTTTTTTTTTGTGAAAATGCCATACAGAGGGGTTACAATTACTAGAGCAAGATAATGAGTACATTTCTTATCAAGCCTCCTCCTTTGTTTCCCCTTCCCATCACCTCCCACCCTCCCCCTCCAGAAATGTTTTTATCTTACTATCTCCAGCTCTTTCCCCTTCTTGGTACCACCATTCTTTTCATTTTTATTTCTTTTTTTATACCTTTTTTATTGTAAAAGTACTGTACAGAGGGGTTACAGTTACATAAGCAAGGTAATGAGTACCTCCTCCTTTGTTACCTCCTCCTTTGATTTTCCCCTACCATCCCTTCCCTCCCCACCTCCACAACTACACTTCCCCCGCCAATTGTAAAGTTTGTTTTTCAACATAGTGTCTTGTACATCTCATTGTTACAATGGGTCACCCTGTATCCCTATTTAAGCATTTTGTTTTTTCCCTTCCCTCCCCAAATTAGAAAAGTATATATACAAGATGCAGGGCACCAACATCAAATACAGTGAAAATGGGGGTTACACTGCCGGGGAGGAACATACAAAGAAACAAAAAAAATCACATGGTACATTATAAATACTTTAGAAACAATATTGTTTCTTTTTTTTAAAAGCATTATACTAGTCCTGATATTGAACTCAGAGCCTGAGTACTGTCCTTGGTTGTTTTTGCTCAAGGCTAGCAAGCATTATACCACTTGAGCCAAAGCTCCAATACTGGCTTTTTGGTGGTGAATTGGAGATATGACTCTCACAGACTTTTCTGTTTGGGCTGGCTTCAAACCTTAATCCTCAGATCTCAGCCTTCTGAATAGCTATGATTACAGGAAAGAGCCACCAGCTTTTCTTTCTTTTTATTGATATTTAGGATTGAACCCTGTCTGAGCTTTTTTGCTCAAGGCCTTGCCGTACCATTTGAGCCACCGTTTCACTTCAGTGGCTGCATGCTTTCAAGGCAGGTACTTTTATCACTGAGCCATGCCTCCATCCCATATTTTCATTATAACTTTTTTTTGATTGGTTGTGGGTCTTGAACTCTGGGCCTGGCCGCTGTCCTGAACTCTTCAGCTCAAGGCAAGCACTCTACCACTTGAGCCACAGGGCCACTTCTGGTTTTCTGGTGAAATTGGAGATGAGTCTTTCCTGCCTGGGCTGGCTTTAAACTGTGATCCTCAGATCTCAGCCTCCTGAGTGGCTAGAATTACAAGCATGAGCCACCTATGCCCAGCTTGATTATAACTTGAGTTAGGTTTCACTATGGTTCATTTCTATTCATGTACCTGGACTGCAGTCTTCCTATTTTGGTTTCCATAGTTGCTGAGATGACAGGTATGTGCCTCCAGCTTCCCTTATATTGAGAGAGGGAGAGGGAATCTTGTGAACTTTTGTGCCTGGGATGGCCTGGACCTTCAATCCCACTGATTTCAGCCTTCTAGGTAGCCAGAATTATAGATGTGAGCCACTAATGCCCAGATTAAAGTCACTATTTTTGTTGTTGTTGTTGTTAGACCAGGATTCAAACTTAGTACCTGACACTTTGCTCATTTGGCTGACACTTTACCAATTGATCCACACCTCTGTCCCCCAGCCTCACTATGTTTAAGGAGGTATGAAACTTCAGTTCTCTGACTTGCCCAGTTCACCTTTGTGATAACTGCTTTCTGTTATGAGTTCTATTTTAACATACGCTGAAACAAGTTATCAAAAATGGATTCCTTACTTAATATGAAAGCATTATTACTGGTAACCATTTTGTGAGAATGTTTTTACAGTTTTTATTTATATATGTTTGAGATTCAACACTTCCGTACTTTACAAATATTTTTTCTTGATTTTTATTATGCTAAAATACATATAAAACTCAAGCATTTTGAACATTTTAATGTTCAGTGCTTTATGATTTTGATCATAAAGTACATCATGTAAATGAAACCAAGTCTTTTTGATTTGATTTATTTCAATTAGTATAATGTCCTCAAGACTCATCATTGGTAGCATATAGTGCCCAGGCCGAGTTCAAGTCCCATTACCCGGGCGCGCGCACACACACACACACACACACACACACACACTAATTACAGCTATGAACATGAATGTACAAATTATCTCTTTAACTTGCTGTTAAGTCTTCAATTTTTTTTTGGTGGGCGGGTTGGTAGTGGGGCTTGAACTCTGGGCCTAGGTGCTGTCTCTGCGCTCTTCAGCTCAAGGCGAGTGCTCTACCGCTTGAGCCACAGCGCCACTTCCAGTTTTCTAGTGGTTTTTATTGGAGAAAAGAGTCTCACGAACTTTCCTGCCCGGGCTTGCTTTGAACTTCTATCATCAGATCTCAGCCTCCTGAGTAGCTAGGATTACAGGCATGAGCCACTGGCACCGGGCTCAGTCTTCAATTTTTATTGAATTAATTTTAACTTAGACTGGAGTATTTTTTGAGATACAGTTTCTGGGTTTAGTGTTAATCTCTAGTGGTAATTAATATCTCTTTAGCTCTCTATTTTTCAGGACTTAAAATCTGGATCTCTTGGCACGCTTTCACTGGGCTTTCTTTGCTCATGGCTGGTGTTCTGCTCTTTCAGCCATGCTTCCAGTCTGGCATTTACCAGTTAATTGGAGATGAGACTCACGGACTTTTATCATGTGGGCTACCTTTGAATCACAATTCTCCAGGTTTCAGCCTCCTGAGTACCTAGGATTATAGGTGTGAGCCACTAGCACTTGGCTTCAGTTTATTTTTTAACAAGTTAATTTTGTTTTCTATAACTGTGTGGTCTTATATTTGTACTAGCATATAGTGTACACTGTTCTCTTTCCACATCCTTGGGACACTTATTTATTCATTTTTTACCTTTTGTGCTGGTCCTGGGGCTTGAACTCAGGGTCTGCGTGCTGTCCATGAGTTTTTTTGCTCAAGGCTGGAGATCTATTTCTTGAACAACACCTATACTTTCAGCTTCTTTGGTGGTGAGTTGGAAATAGAGTCTCAGGGTCTTTCCTTCCCAGTCTGGCTTCATATCTCAATCTTCAGATCTCAACCTCCTGAGTAGGATTACAGATATGAGCCTGAAGTGCCAGGCATTTTTAAAAGTGTTTTTAATGATTGAGAGATTGAATATAGAGCCTTATTTATGCTATGTATATAGGCTGAATATAGAGCCTTATTTATGCTATGTATATAGGCATATAGGTATATGTAGGTATATCTTGAGACATACTATCCCATCTCATCCCTTTAGTTTGTTTTTACCCAAACTTGAGATCTTCCTGCTTGACATACTACTAACTGAGCAACTAGGATTGCAGGCATGTGCATCCAGTGAATATGAAGTGGTAGGAAATTAATAGTTTTCATTTGCATTTCTATAATGAGTAGTGACATTGACCTTTTTCATGCTGTGTGTGGGTATAAAAATATATATATATATATACACACATATATATTTGTAAATTGTCTTTTCAGATCTTTTCCCAGTTCTTTCTTTTAACCTCACATAATTAGCTATACAAGGGGGAGTTTCATTGTGACATTTTCATATATGTATGTATAGTGTGTATGGCTAATCTGTCCACCTTTACTACTCTCCGTGACTCTATTCAACGATTTTAGGAGAAGTTTTTTATTTTTGCTTTGACACCTCAAGTTAGAGAGATATGCATGTTAAGGTAAGAGGGATGTTTAGAATATGTTTCTCCATGAATGTGTGTACTCTGTTAGTGACGCCTTTTCCCCTTTCCTAATACAGTTTCAAGGGGTTCATTGTTCTGTTTTCCTACTTGCTGGCAATTTATTTTGACTCTATCCATCCCATTACACCTTTGTTAACCTAACCCTTTCTTGCTAGTACCATTAACCTCCTTCAAAAGATCCTGTTATACCCTCCCCCCCACTGCCTAATGGATCAAAACTTTTATTGAGGTTCTTTATGCTGTTTTTATAGGTAGTTGCAGTGTATCTCAAAATTACCCTCTTTTTTTTCTTCTTTCACTTTTCTTCCTAAGTAGTCCCTTAGACTCATATCCTATGTTTATCATGCATGTGTAATTATATATAAAGCTATATATATGTATATGTTCGCGTTCATAAGTAAGTTTGTCTTTATGTCTGACTCACGAATGAGCAAAATCATACATATAATGTCTTATTTTTGAGTCTGGCTTATCTCATTCAATATATCCTTTGGTTCCACCCATTTTTCTAACAGATAGCATTTTATTTTTTTCATGGCTATGTAATGCTTCATTGTATGTGTATACTTTGTTATATATGTCAGGACATTACTATTCAGCAGTTAACTTTTTTGTTTGTTTTGGGTGCCAGGTACTAGCATTTGAACAGAAGGCCTCAAACTGGTCATATCTCCTGTCCCACATTTTTGCTGGTTTACTGGAGCCAGAGTCTCAAGGACTTTTCTGCCTGGGCTGGCTTTAAGTCTAAATCCTCGGTTTCAGCCTCCTGAGTAGCTAGAATTATAAGCATGAGCTACACACCAATGCCAAGCAAAGCATCTTGTTTATCTTAATGCTCTAGGAATATTGTAGTAATACACAACGTTTTACCCTTTCTATTTACTTAGAAGTTATAAAATGTTACGTTTTCTTCTATGCTTTAAGTGACTGGAAGGCACTCAGAACATGGCATAACAAAGCACGTAGTTCTTGGATAGCATTCTTCCTGGGTAGGTTTCTGACCCTTTGACTTTTATTAGAAAGGGTTATAATTCAGTATGGAATATTATCTTAATCTTAACAAGTTTGTAATAATGTGACAGAACAGGGAAGCTAGTATTTTAGAGTAAAGAGTGATTAAATGCTTGGAATTAAGGGAACTCCTTTGCAGTGATTTTTACTTGTATTCAAAGAATACAAGTAGAATACAAGTAAATACAAGAATAATGCAGTTTATTACATACTTGAGTTTAGAATTTTAGCATTTTCAGATTTGACAAATACCTGTTTGTTATAACTGCTTAGATCCTTGGATTTGTTACTGATATGTTACTGTTTTTTCTCCTTTTCCCAGTTCAAAGCAGCATTCAACGATTTCAGGAGAAGTTTTTTATTTTTGCTTTGACACCTCAACAAGTTAGAGAAATATGCATATCAAGGTAAGAGGAATGTTTAAAATATGTGTCTCTATGAATGTCTGTAGTCTATTAGTGATGCCATGACAGTGCCACACACTGGGTGGCTTAAAAAGAAATTGATTTCTCACAATTCTAGAGAGTTCTGTCCAATATCATGGTATTGACAGGTTTTTACTTTTCTTAGTCCTTTCCTTTTTGCTTTCATATTTTTTTGTGTGTCCTTATAATGTCCTCATATAGCTTTTTTCTTTGCCAGTACATCCTGCTGTCTTTTCCTGTTTTTATGAGCATTATTAGATCACTTTTTTTTTTGTTTTTTAGTTGGTCATGGGGCTTGAACTCTGGGCTTGGGTGCTATCCTTGTGCTCTTCAGCTCAAGGCGAGTGCTCTACCGCTTGAGCCACAGTGCCACTTCCAGTTTTCTAGTAGTTCATTGGAGAAAAGAGTCTCATGGACTTTACTGCTTGGGCTGGCTTTGAACCAAGATCCTCAGATCTCAGCCTCCTGAGTAGCTAGGATTACAGGCGTGAGCCACCGGTGCCCAGCTTACATCTCTTTTAAGAACTCATTTAAGCCAGGCACTGGTAGCTCATACCTAAGCACTCAGAAGACTAAAATCTGAGGATCCTGGGTTGGAACTCAGCCCCACAGGAAAATCCATGAGACTCTTATTTCCAATAAACTATTCAGAAAAGGCTAGAAGTGGTGCTGTGGCTCAAGTGGTAGAGCACTAGCCTTGAACATGAAGAGGCTCAGGTCAGGGACAGTGTGCAGGCCCTGAGTTCAAGCCCCAGGACCTCCAAAAAAAACCCCAAAGCTCATTTAACCTTAATTGCTTCTTGAAAGGTCTTGTCTGCAAATATTGTCAAGGAGAATATGTGATAACAGCTCAAAGACAGGGTGGTCATCAGTGTTTATGATTTCAAAGTGAGACATTTTTGAATAAATATTTTTGAATAAAAGTGAATATTATTACTAGCTAAGAGCAAAACTTGAATAATTCAGGGCAAATTGAGCTGTTTAGTCACCTTGACCAAAACTTAGTAGAAATTTGAATTAAGAAAAGTGCTGTTAGCCTTAATAGTTTTGAAAATAGAAGGAACTTAGACACATCTAGAAAAGACAAATAAATGAAAAAATGGAAAAGGAAAAAAATGTGTATTATGCATTATCCCAGTAAAAAATAGGGTCATCTAGCCAGGTGTTGGTGGCTCATGTCTGTAATCCTAGCTACTCAGGAAGCTGAGAGCTGAGGATCACGGTTCAAAGCCAGCCCAGGCAGGAAAGGCTGTGAAACTTCTCTCCAATAAACTGCTGTGGCTCAAATGGTAGAGTGCTAGCCTTGAACTGAAGAACTAAGGGACAGCTCTCAGGCCCAGAGTTCAAGCCCCATGACTGATCAAAAAAAAAATCATCTGTAATGTTAATATCTGGATTTGTTTGTGTGTGAACCATGTGTGCTTCTGAATAGTTTACTACTTAACAGTTGCCTTGAGAATATATGTGTGAGATGGGAGCGGTGGCTCATGTTTGTAATTTGTAATCCCAGCTCTATAGGAAACGAATGAGAGGATTGCAGTTTGAAGCAGTGCAGGCCAAAATAACCATGAGACCTCTTCTCAACTCATAGCTGGGCATGGTGTGTGTCTATCATCTTAAGCCTGTGGAAAGCTGAGATTGAGAGGATTATGGTTCCTGGAGCTTGAGCAGAAGTTTGAAACTACATGTCAGCCAAAGAAGCTGGATGTGGCCATGCATGCCTGTCAGTCATCCTAGCTATAATTGGAAGCCTAAAATAAATGTATTGCAGTCCAAATGCCTAGGCTGCAAGTGACACCCCTCTCAAAAATAGCCCAGGCAATAAAAAGGTAGTAGCATACCTGCCGAGCAAACATGAGGCTCTGATTTCATATGCGCACATACTTTGATTATATGCATAAATATATAAATATGAATGCATATTGTATAAAGATAGGTTGCTTCTTGATTGGTTAAGTAGGTGACTGAGAGCTGACTCTGAGATGCTTCATTTTATATGCTTTGTATTGTTTTGAGGTTTGGGCTACAAATGTATTAGTAGTTAAGTAATAAATGACTTAACTTTTTAATTATTTTAAAGTAAAAAATCATGTTCTGCAGGTAAGTGGTAGCAATGATTTCACAGTATGAATATACTGAATGTTATAGACCATTAGCTCATTGTAATAATGAATTTATTTCACATGTATTTAACCTAAATTTGTAGTCCTCCTTCCCTTAGAAAGAGCACACAAATACATATGTACAGTCCAAACTCCAGCCCAGCCCTTTTCACAGTCTTTTACCAGGTGGTTAACCAAAAAGTTTTTGTGTTCATCATGGAGCTCGCACATTCCACCCCCTAGCCCCACCACCCCTGGCCTGGGTCATTTGAACTCATGCCACTGTGTCTCTGAATATTTTTGCTCAAAGCAAGTGCTCTACTATTTTGAGCCCCATCTATGAGTTTCATGGCCTTTCCTGCCCAGGCTGGCTTTGAACCATGATCCTCAGATCTCAGACTCCTGAGTAGCTAGGATTACAGGCATGAAGCAGCCACCGGCTTCCGGCAGATTGAGATTATTTTTGAGAAGAATATCTTCAATTAGATCCTCTTCTTGGTATGTCTTATCAGTTACTACATAATATTGAGAGACTGTATTTTTTGTGATACTAACTTTGATCATCAGGCTCATCTACTGTGTCTTAAATTTCTGCACTGCAAAGTTACTGACTTTTTCTTTGTTATCAGTGTATATCCTGAAGAGGATACTTTGAGACTGGGCACAGAAGCAAAACATTCCTGTTGCAGTGGTGGTGGTTTTTTGTGGTCCTTATTTTATTTTTACATTTAAGGGACAGCTGTCCCTTCTCATTCATTTTTTCATTCATTCATTTATATATTTATTTAAGTATGCTGTGGGATATAACCTAGAATTATAAAAATTTATATTGTAACTCATTTGATTATTGTTTCATTATTAGTGGTTCTTTTAGATTGTCACCTGTCCCTTTTCCTTGGCTTCCCAAATATGCTTTAAAATACTTCTTTATCTTCTTCCCTCACAAGATGCTCAAGCTTTCTTTCTTTCTTTTTTTTTTTTTTTGGGTTAGTCGTGGGGCTTGAACTCTGGGCCTGGACGCTGTCCCTCAGCTTTTCAGCTCAAGGCAAGTACTCTACCACTTGAGCCACAGCGCCACTTCTGAGTGGTTTATTGGGGATAGGAGTTTCATGGAGTTTCTTGCCCAGGCTGGCTTTGAACCGCGATCCTCATCACAGCCTCCTGAGTAGCTAGGATTACAGGCATGAGCCACTGGCACCTGGCCATCTTTGTTTAAAAAAAAAAAATTGGTCACTTCTCTATGGAGAGCTGGTTCCTCTTAAAATTACAACAGAGCTATAAAAGAAATAGAAGAAAGAAAAATAATCCATGTAACTCTAGCTTACTACACATTCTGAATTTGAATTGTTGCTTCTTGTGTCATTTCAGTGTGCCTATTTGCATGTTTCTCAGACTTGCCTGCCTATTAAAATCAGCTGAGAAATTTTTATAAATCCAATTCAGATGCTCAGGGTTTATTTTTCATATGAATAAAATCAAAATCTGGAGAATCAGACCCTCAAATCACTGGGTTTTAAGGCTCCTTGGGTATTTGTAGTATGCAGCAAATTTAGGAACTGTTATTATATTTTTAACCCCTCTCTTTTTCTTGTAGTAATAGTGAGGTCTAGAGTAGAGCCTTGAGTAAATTCAGATTTGGAGATGGGGAGATGTTTCTGTTTGTGAAGATTAATCCATTGGGGTGAACACTTTTTAACTTTTTCATTACTTCTTTTTGGTACTATTGCACTAGAAATTTTTGTCATTCCCTCCCATTGATTGTTCTTACACATTTCCAGAAATCAATCTATGATTCTCTTCCCGTGATTCTCTTCTTCCTGCTCCTTGACAGTATCATGAATATGCTTTTTTTGTTGTTGTTGGAGGCAGAAAAATTATCAGGACTTCCCTCTGGAGACTATTATCATTGATAGTAGTCTGCTTTGATAATATACAAGTACATCAGACATAATACAGACTGGGCACCAGTGGCTTACAAATGTAGCTATTGAGGAGAATGAAACTTAAAGGATTTTGTTTTGAATCCAGCTTGAACAGAAAAGTCTACAAATGGCAGATTGCCAGTCTATGGGTCATGGCTTAAGTAGTAGACTACGAGCCAGCTGTGAACAAGAACACTAAGTTAGAGTTTAAGGCCCCAAGTTCAAGCACAAAACCACAGCTATGAAAACAAACAGCAACATCTAGAGTTAAATTTGCTTGTTTCTCAAACCTTCTTTGTTTTTTGTGTGTTTTCTCATTTATTCATTACCACATGTGCTGTGATCTAGACAATATTCTATACATCAAAAATTCTCCTTAAGGAGATTGTTTGCTTGGCATATATCCTCCCATAGTCCCCTTTAGCAACATCTCATATCCTATCAGCTTCTTATCATCTGTTGGTTTTTCTTTCTTTTTTTTTTTTAGGTTTGGTCATGGGGCCTGAACTCTGGGCCTGGGCGCTATCCTTCAGCTCTTCAGCTCAAGGCTAGCGCTCTACCACTTGAGCCACAGCGCCACTTCCGGCTTTTTTCTTTTTGCTTATGTGGTGCTGAGGAATTGAACCCAGGGCTTCATGCATGTAAGGCAAGTGCTCTACCACTGAGCCACCTTCCCAGTCCCTGTTGATTTTTCTTTTATCACTTTGCAGATTCAAAATGTGACAATTCAACTCTTGACCATGATCTTTAGAGAAGTACAAATGGGATAGTAGTTTTTTCCTTTACCACCAAGGTCTGTATGCCACTGGGCAAGTGACTAAATCACATTGACTATTACTTATCCAGTATGTAAAATGGAATAAGAAGTTATCACTTTTAGGTTTGAACTGGAGTCATAGCTCAAGTGGTAAAGAGCCATCCTCAAGCAAAAGAGTCAAGCAAGAACAACAGGTCCTGAGGTAGAGCCCCAGTACTAACCCTTCCGACCTCTCCAAAAGGCTGTAGGCCAAACTGTCAGAGTACACAGGTATCTGAAGTGTGAAATATAATTCTACTTGTCCTACGAAGTATAAAATTATATGTCTGGGAATGTGCATTAGTGGTAGAGTGCCTGCCTAGCATGCATGAAGCCCTGGGTTCCATTCCTTAGTACCACATAAATAAAAAAAGCCAGAAGTGGCACTGTGGCTCCAGTAGTAGAGTTCTAGCCTGGAGCAAAAGAAGCCTAGAGACTATACTCAGGTCCTGAGTTCAAGCCCCAGGACTGGCCAAAAATAAAAATAAAAAAATAAATGTGTGTGTATATATATGTGTGTGTGTGTGTATATATATATAGAGAGAGAGAAGTCGGGACAAGGAGTGTGATAGCATAGAGCTCAAGTAGGTGACTCCTGTGCTTTACTGCTGTTCAAGGAACTTAGAGAATTGGAAACTGAGCAAGGCGAAGGCCAAATGTATTTCTTTAGTTTACTTAGGACTGGCCTACTCTCTAATGGTCTCTTTGATAAAGTACAAGATTTACAATAGCAGTTAAGGAATAGTACTTTCTAAACTGTAATGTTTATGCAGGTCATCTGGGGATCTTGCTAAAATAGATTCTGTCAGTTTTAGGATGAAGTTTGGAATTCTGCATTTCTAACAATCTTTAAAAAAACATTTCTGCTTTACTGTGCATTTCATTTTGTGTGGCAAGAGTTTTGAGAGTTGGGTATCAGAGATATTTTATGTGAGATTCTTGATTCTTATCTAGGAATTATAAGAAGTTCTGTATCTATAATTGGATATATAGTATGTAGTTGCCTGGTATTGGATAATTGTGACTGTAGGTGCTCACTGTATGTAAAAACAAACCAACAATAATATCTTAAAATGCTTATCAAATCACTTGATGAATTGCTTAGAATTCCATAGCCAACACAGAAGAAATAGTTGTACTGTCAAAGCATGTAAATTCACTTTATAGACCACGATGATGACAATTTGCCTTGTGAAGCTTAAAATGTATTTGTAACTTAGTAACTAAGTATCACTGTCCTCCAATACTGTGAAATTTGTGAAATTTATGTAATCATTTAATCTCAATAAAAGATTATTATAAACTAAAAACAATTCATTGCCAAGATGAAGAACTACTAAAAATACAGATTAATTTGTCAGACTCCTTCATGATCTAGGATGTTCCTTTTCATGTTAACCAAATTTGTTGCCTGTTGAAGTAAGTATTGCATCATCAAAGTTCCTATGCATTGAATCTTAGACATTGCCCTGAAGAATAATTAAAAGTAAATTAAATGGTGTTGTTATTGCTGCATTTTGATTAAAGCTTATGCTGTTGATAGGGTATTGTTTATCTTTTAAAGGTAAGAATATATGGGATGTGTGTGTACCTGCACACGGTGTCTGTGAACATGCATATTTTCTTCCTTGTATGAGTACTCCTGTGAAATCTTACAGTGCTTTTGAATCTTGCTTTCTTTCTCATCACAGGGATTTTTTGCCAGGTGGCAGAAGAGATTATACAGTCCAAGTTCAGCTGAGGTAAGTTTGAAAAATTTTGTTTCTATAATTTTGCCCTTGTTAACTGTGTACATGTCCCTGAAGTTGAAAACACAGAAGCATGTTTGAGTAAACTAAGAAAGGTTTTCTTTTTCTTTAAATACAGACTTTGCCTGGCTGAGACAAGTTGCCCTCAAGAAGATAACTATCCCAATAGTCTATGTATAAAAGTAAATGGAAAGCTGTTTCCTTTGCCTGTAAGTTGCTTTTTATTCATCACATGCTTATGTAAGCTTAGAATAAACACTGACAATGTCTAGAAACAGGACAACTCAGTACCAGTAAATAGTTCTAACATCCCAACTAAATACAGTTTTTTTCCCTGGAATAATCTATAGCTAATTTCAAGTCTAGAGAAGATGAGCTTAGAAAATCTTGCTTTAGAATTAAAGAGATGCTCTGAAAGACTCTTGGAATCTCATCAGACAGCTGAATGTAGCTCTTGAATATAGGACAGCATGTTGTGGTGGATGTCTGGTTTGCTAAGACTAGAGCTGAAATGACATTTTGGAAAACAGAAGCTGCTGAGAATGATTGGCCACAGAAATCTAAATTCCATGTTTGTTCCTTGATGATTTCAGTTAGGTGAATGCAATGATATTTTGATGGGTAACCTGAGACACGTGTGTGTGTGTGTGTGTGTGTGTGTGTGTGTGTGTGTGTGTGTGTGTGTGTGTGTGTGTAATGTGAATGAATAATAACCTTTTTCTTACGTAATATTTGAGTGTCAAATCTCTGACTTCTATTTAAGTCTTAAATAGTGCTTAAGTTAGTGAATTTCTGACTATGAGTTTGCACTGAAGCATGCAATGTTTTATTAAATTGGTGCAGTTATACAGAAGCCCAACAAAGCCATAACAGTAATAAAATACCTATAGTCTGATCCATTTGTTAAGTACTACAAAGTGTAGGTATATTTGTTGTAACTGAAGTTCTCTGAGAACAAAAACCCTTCTGGTATATATCATGCTGCTATGTCAGCAAAATATATCATGGCAGCTGTTCCAGTGATATGAAAGCTGTTTAGCATATTCACTGAGCATGAGTCTTGGCTCTGGAGTAAGTACATAACAATTTTACTATTAGCAGCTGAGCAAGTCAGACAGAATAGCCTGGACTCTACGATATCTCAGAGCCTAATGCTTATAACTGAGTTGGATCTGACTTTTCTTATTTGTTAAAAAGTCTTATTCTTAGCTTATGGACTTTGAAACTTGAAATATGGTTGTCCCATGAATTTCATATTCGTGAATGTCTACAGATTTTTCAGGGCTTGAACACCACATCAGTGATGGGCTTTTCTTAAATATGCTCAAGACTGAAATCAATGTACAGTGCTCTGTAATACAAAAGGGAAAATTATACAGACTGAATAGATATTGTCAGGGAGGGTTGCTTACATGGTCCTGTAAATGTTCAAAAGTCAGGTGGGAACTTTGCCTCACACATTCTGGCTTCCAGCAATGGGATTCCTAAAAGCTCTCTTTCATTTAGATGGATTGTACAAAAAAGTCCTACTTAGAGTTAAAGGATAACTGATGGTTGGTGGTATGAGGAAGGAAGCCTGACAGAATTATAGATTACAAAATGACTCTGTTTACTTTCAAATACCTTTTCATATTTAATTTTCTTTTTCTTTAACCTTTGGCTGTGGCTGATTTCTTTTCTCACTATCCTTGAAGAACAAACTATAGATCCTTGTTGATATCTACATATTTACTCTCTTTCTCTTTTTATTTATTTTTTTTGGGTGGTCATGGGTCTTCAACTCTGGGCCTAGGTACTGTCCCTGAGTTCCTCAGCTCAAGGCGAGCACTTTACTTCTTGAGCCACAACACCACTCTGGTTTTGTGGTGGTTAATTGGAGATAAGGGTCTCACAGATTTTGCTGCCTGGGTTGGCTTTGAACCTCGATCCTCAGATCTCAGCCTCCTGAGTAGCTAGGATTACAAATGTGAGCCACTGGCACCCCGCTACATATTTACTCTTTTTTTTTTTTTGGGTCCGGTCATGGGGACTGAACTCTGGGCCTGGGTGCTGTCCCTCAGCTCTTCAGCTCAAGGCTAGCCCTCTACCACTTGAGCCACAGCGCCACTTCCGGCTTTTTTCGTTTTGCTTAATGTGGTGCTGAGGAATCGAACCCAGGGCCTCAGGCATGTAAGGCAAGCGCTCTACCACTGAGCCACCTTCCCAGCCCCTACATATTTACTCTTAAAAGACCAACCCAGTATATCATTATGTGTCTTTGCCAGTAATAGACTGTGTCCAAAATGTATGAGGTTTTGCTTAACACTTTGCCATTTCTACAGAAAATACAGTAGATGTAAATGTATACACACACCAGTTACATCAGACTTCTAAATTGGACAACTCAGTGTCTTCATGGATGAGGTCTGCAACTCTGCTGTGGTAGCTATGAATTTGTAACTCTTCTAGTCCTTTTTAGAGAAAAAAAATTAGATAGTTGGCCAGTTCCTCCGTGACATTGTGAAGCCAATAATAACTGCTGTACCAGCTAACCCTTGATACATCATTAGGCTATTTGGGAACATAACAGTTAGTACATAAAGCATCCTTTGTCTGATAAGCCTGCCACTCACCCTTTGGGCCAGGGGCAATTGAGAAGGAGAAGAAGAAATAGAGCATTGGGAGAAAGGCAATGACATACTTCAAAAAAGGAAGGCAATAGGGAAGACTTGCCTGATTCAGATAAAACCATCCTAGAGAAAATCAAACACTAGCCTTCAGTAAATATGGAACAACTAGTGTAAATTGACTTGAAACTGATGAACTTGTTAGATCACTTGTAGAACCACAATTACTATTTTTTAGGATGTGAACTATAGAGTATAAATGTAAAGCATGATTTTTAGGGATTAGGAGTATGCTGCAGCTGCAGAGGAAGAAAGCTTCATTGAGTGAGTCTGTAGTAGGTGCATTGAATTCTAGAGCCTTGGGGATCTTGTTAAAATTCAAAGCACCACTAACAAGTCACAAAAAAGAATATAAATTGATATATATTCCTTACCCATGATCTTGAGGAATAAGGTTGATATGATCATGACACTTATCATGATAGCTCTAAACCTCTTTGAATTTGTGACTTTCCTTGTGTGTGTGACTGTATTAAAATACGTAGTCATTGAGGATCCACAGCAGTTGACTATTATATTGCATGTACAGAATAAATAGAATGGGAAATTGTATTATGTCTTGACCATAGTTATGTGCCTGGACTTTTATTTATTTTTTGTCAGTCATGGGGCTTGAACTCTGGGCTTGAGTGCTGTCCCTTTGCTCTTCAGCTCAAGGTGAGCGCTCTACTACTTGAGCCACAGTGCCACTTTAGGTTTTCTGGTGGCTTATTGAAGGTAAGAGTCTCATAGACTTTGCTGCCCAGGCTGGCTTTGAACCATGATCCTCAGATCCTCAGGATTACAGGCATGAGCCACTGGTGCTTGACTCTGGACTTTTATTTTAAGGGTCAAACAATAGTGAAATCAGCCTATTTACTGCTTTGAGATGGTAAGTTCTATAAAACACTTGGGTTCTCTTAATACAGGGAAGACAGTAAGTATCTCAGAGAAGAGGTTACAAGGTAACGGACAAGCGGTCCTCAGTCATTCCTCCATCTTTAATGATTGTTTGTGTATAGACTGAAAGCCATGAGTAAAATGCCATATGTTTAGGAAGAAGGGAAAAAGCTCTTTACTTAGCTGAGTAGTTGGGTTATTTTTATGTTTCAATGATCAGCATTTCTGTTAAACCTGTGGAGCTATAAAGTTGGGTGGGGAACAAAAATATGAGCCAGGTGCTCTTGGCTCATGCCTGTAATCCTAGCTCCTTAAGATGCTGAGATTTGAGGATCAGGGTTTGAAGCCAGCCTGCACAGGAAAGTCCCTGAGGCTCTTATCTCCAGAAAAGCCTTAAGTGTCACTGTGGCTCAAGTGGTAGAGGGCTAGACTTGAGCAAAAGAAGCTCAGGGACAGCACCCATACCCAGATGTAGTTCAAGCCCCTGGACTGGCAAAAAAAAAAAAAAAGGAGGAAGAAGAGGAGGAGGAGGAAAGAAAAGAAATATGATGGTTTCTTTTTAATACATAGATGTTACCAAACTGAGAAATCTTAAATTTTCTAAAATGAAATATTTTGTGGCTATTTTTGAGAATTGGGTTTACTGTGACCAAAAATAAGTGTTTTTTTCTTTAAAACAAAATCAGACTAATGAGTTTTTTGTTTTTTGGTTTTTTTTTTGGTCCAGTCATGGGGCCTGAACTCTGGGCCTGAGCGCTGTCCCTCAGCTCTTCAGCTCAAGGCTAGCTCTCTACCACTTGAGCCACAGCACCACTTCCGGCTTTTTTCTTTTTGCTTAATGTGGTGCTGAGGAATCGAACCCAGGGCCTCAGGCATGCAAGGCAAGTGCTCTACCACTGAGCCACATTCTCAGCCCCACTAATGAATTTTTTATTAACCAGACTCAAAAGACTTTAATCATCACTTTGATGTTCACTTAGACACTCTTTTTTTTTAATTCCTAAGTTTTCACTTTCCCACCCTAGTTTGGTTTTGACGGGGGCCACCTAAAATGAGTCATTTCAAAGAGTTGCCACTTTATTTGGAAAGCTTAGTTTCCTATAGAAAGGAAGAAGATTCATAGGTAATATGGCAGGGTATCAGTATCTTTATATTGATAGAATGTGGATTTTTGTTGTTGTTGGTCATGGGGCTTGAACTTGGGGTTTTAAGGGTGCAGTCCCTGAGCTTTTGTGCTCAAGGATAGTGCTCCACTTCCAGTTTTCTGGTCGTTCATTGGAGATGAGTCTCTTGGACTTCCCTGCCTGAGCTTGGCTTTGAACCATGATTCTCAGATCTCATTCACCCGCATGAGCCACCAGCACCCAGCCAGAATGTAGAGTTTTATTTTTCTATATTAGACTAGTTTTCAGGATAAAATAAAAATGTCCTAGTGGCCAGATACTAGTGGCTCATGCCTGTACGCCTAACTACTCAGGAGACTAAGATATCAGGATTGTGGTTTGAAGACACCCCAGACAGGAAAGTGTGTTATCTCCAATTAACCACCAGAAAACCAGAAATGGAGCTGTGGTTCAAAGTGGTAGAGCACTGTCTTTGAGCAAAAAAGCTCAGGGACAGCATCTAGGCCCTGAGTTCAAGCCCCATGTCCAATAAAACAACCATAAAAATGACTTAGTAGAACCAAAATTAGGCTATTTGTATTTCAGAAAATATTTAATCCCCTACAATTTTTTTAAATTGTTATAGGGCTATGCACCTCCACCTAAAAATGGGATTGAACAGAAGCGCCCTGGACGCCCTTTGAATATTACTTCTTTAGTTAGATTGTCTTCAGCTGTGCCAAATCAGATTTCTATTTCTTGGGCATCTGAAATTGGAAAGGTAAGACTTCTCTCCCCTAGGTAGTGAGAGTGACTCCACTTAGGATGCTAGCTCCATGTCTTACAGTTTCCTTATTGTTAATTTCTGAAAAGCAGTAGCTTTCAATTGAGGGGTGGTATTTGGAAATTCTTAAGGAAGATCGTGGTCTGACATCATCAGCCCAGACAAATAACTATCTGAAAACAAATTAAAAAGCAGAAGAGAACTGGGGGAAGTGGGGTGGGGCTATGACTTAAAAAAAAAATTAAACACTCTGACTCAGGTTTCGTCTTTTCTCTTCATTTTGCATGAAAGTAAATGGAAATGTGTATTTTTTTTATTCCTTAAAGTAATTGTTGTGTAGGTACATGGTATGTTAATAAACCAAAAGCTTTGAGTAAGTATGAAGAATAAAAAAAATTTCATGTCTTTGTGTGGGACATTGTTCAGTGTACTCACATTCTGAATAGAAATAATTTCTTTCCAGCTTGGAATCAATAACTAATAGTTAAGGTAACACATAGCCATTTCGTTAAAAATAATCGCATAGAGTCAGGCATCGAAACACTTGTTTATAATCCTAGCTTTTCAAGAGGCAAAAAAGGAAGATTGAGACTTAAGTAACCCGGCCAAACCTGTCAAAATTGCATGAGACCTTATCTGAAAAGGAAACTAAACTGAAAAGGGCTGGAGGCATAGTTCAACTGGGCTTGCCTCAGAAGTACAAGATCCTGAGTTCAATACCAAAATTGAAAAATCGTTTTTTAAAGAATTGCTTTTTATACACCTTTAGGTTGATGAATATAGCTTTCTGCTCAGAATACAATTGGTTAACACATCTGTCATCCTAGCCATTCAAGAAATGTAAATAGGAGGGTTGTAGTTCAGGCTGGCCTAGCCAAAATGTAAGAGACCCTGTTGAAGGGAACAAAATCCTTCAAAAGGTCTGAAGGGGATAGCTCATGTGGTAGAGGGCATGCCTAGCAAGTGCGAGGGCCTGAATTCAAACTCTAGACCAAGAATCCTACTATTTTATGGATGGAGAAATAGAGGCATATGTTTAAAGAATGTTTGTTTTTACCTATTGAGATGATTACAGAGTGGGAATAACTTGCAATTTTTTTGTGTGGTATTGGAGTTTGAACTCAGGGCCTCAGAGTTGGTTAGGCATGCATTCTGCCACTTGAGCCATACCTCCAGCACCTTTTTGAGTTGGTTATTTTCAAGATAGGGTCTCAGTTTATGGCTAGCCTGGACTGTGATCTTCTTACTAGTACTTCTTGTATCATTGGAAATAATAGACATATGCCACTCTACCCAGTCATTGGGTAAGATGGAGTTTCTTAGACATTTTTTGCCTAAGCTGGCCTTCAGCATTAATCACTCCATCTCTGCCTCCCAAGTAGCTAGGATTACAGGCTTGAGCTACTATACCCATCTTAATTTACAAATTTTTGAATAAATTATTATACACATTGAAGACTGGGCCATTGTGCCACATATTTACTATTAGTTCTTTTTCATAAAGCAATTAATGGACTTAAAATTTGTACAATGTATTGAGTATTCAGTTATTTCAAACAACATTTAAAAGTAAAATACTTGGTTTGACAACTATTAAAGTATATCATTATTGTGACTCTTTTAAATAAAATAGATGAATAAAATCTGTTGAATTAAAAAATATTTGTAGTAAAATGGGAATATAGGATATTTCAGTGTAAATTACATTTCATCTCATAATAGCTAACAAAGGCTCCTTTGTGTCAGATCTGTTAGGTATGGAACTGGATGCTATTATTTTCTGGCCTTGACTTTTGGGTTTTATGTCTTCAGGTATAGTACATACCATAGCAGCTGCCCTCTTCTGGTAAAATGACTACTGAGGAAGTAGAATTAATTTGTCAAACCTTTCCTCAGAAGAAAGTGATACTGTCTTTATTTGAATGATTTTCTACATGCATGTAACATGTAGTCTCTTCTTCAGAATTAGAACTTTTGAATTCTGGGCTTGGAACATTTAGTCAGACTACTGGCATTTTAACTGTTTCAGCAGTGAAACCCTCTTGTAAATAAAAATATGAGGGCATTTTTACAGAAGTAGATCAAAGCAGGATTCTGGTTGGAAGTGAATATGGGAGAGTACATTCTCAGGATGACTCCTATTATTAGCATCATTTACAAACCACCACGGAAGCTGTTTATCAAACTACTAGATACTGTAAAAATAAATGCTTGAGAAAGTCTTATGTTACTATGGAGTCATTTCCCTGAAAAGACCTTCTTGATTTTGTCACCATCCCATTGGTCTTTCTGCAGATTTTATTTTGAACGTTATTTTCAGAAAACAATTTCTTAGGTATCTTGTCTAATGGAGAGATTTTTTTGTTTTGTGTTTTGGATTTTTTTCAGAATTACTCCATGTCTGTGTATCTTGTACGGCAGCTCACATCAGCGATGCTACTACAGAGATTAAAAATGAAAGGTATTAGGAATCCTGACCATTCCAGAGCACTAAGTAAGTAATGTTTGTAATAGTGAACATATGAGATGCTATGTTTGGAAGGAGACTAAATTCTCATATACATATTAATTTGTGGTATTTATTGCATTTCTGTTATATTAACTTACCTTGTATGCAGAGTAACTTGTATATATTGTCTGCTGAAAGAAATCACGCACATTGCCATGTACACATTGTTTTATTCAAAATTTAAAAATTATTGGAAATAACTAGTAAACAAATAAAAATAGTTATGAGCATTTGCTAGAAAAGAATTGAAGTTCAGGGTACTGCCATCATGTTCCTCTCCTAATTATTACTTTGTTCTGAAGTGTTAAAAGCAACTTCGGTTTTGTAGCTATTTTTGATGAGCAATCTTGCTTTTAGAGAGAAATACTAAAAATTCAATTAAGTATGTGATCTGTAGTTTGTAGAATCCTAATTTCAAATATGGAGAATATTGTCTTGTTTAGTACATAAGTATTCAACATTTTGTGTTTCTAGCCCTTTTTGAAGAAAAGTAGGAAATTTTGAAATAGGATGTATTTCTATAGTTCTGCTCATATGTCACCATTAATATTTAAAGTTGTTACTATTTTGTCTCTCTTAAAAGTTAAAGAAAAACTTACTGCAGATCCTGATAGTGAAATTGCTACTACTAGTCTTCGGGTATCCTTGATGTGTCCTGTAAGTAAAGTGACAAAACATTGTGGTCAGTTTTAGTTGTTTTTTTTTTTTTTACAAAGTACTAGTTTTCAATAAATGTAAGGGTAGGATGAATGATATATTTCAATAGAATTCCAAACTCAAGTTTTTGTTTTGTTTTTTTCCATTTAGGAATCTATGAGTAAGCTTTCTAGTTCATTGTATTTTTCAGAGAATGACAGAATGATAACCCAAAAGACTATTTTATATCAAGTGCCAATATATATGTTGGTTGAGAATAATCTTACAGTAATTACATAACTAATCCGTAGCGAATAATAAATATACATTGTTGGCTTCTTTGACAAGAATATATATTGCATTGAAAAACACCAGTAATTTTGCTAGGGCCTGAATGCTAATTTGTAGGTTTGCCTTAATAAGTTAAGGTGTGTGGAATATCTTTTTAAATCATGTAGTCAGCTACTCTGAGATCCTTCCATGTGCTTGACACTGAGCTAATTATGGGAGAAACTACTGAGAACTTACTATGAACTCTATGAGAAAAGTTATGGAATCAGGAATTATATAGTTTGGGGAGCATTTGATTACTACCGAGGTAATAAACAGCCTTGTTTTCATTATGTGTAATCTACCTCTGACTTACAGTTTACATATCTCAAAAAACTGAAATGATATTTGAAAAATAGGGAAGTCAAAATGAATTTTTAAAAATCTTGCTGGGGGGGCAGGGAAGGTGGCTCAGTGGTAGAGCGCTTGCCTTGCATGCCTGAGGCCCTGGGTTCGATTCTTCAGCACCACATAAGCAAAAAGAAAAAAGCCGGAAGTGGTGCTGTGGCTCAAGTGGTAGAGCGCTAGCCTTGAGCTGAAATGCTGAGGGAGAGTGCCCAGGCCCAGAGTTCAGGCCCCACGACTGGACCCCCCCCCAAAAAAAAAAAAAATCTTGATGGGAATAAGTCTTGGTTTTCTTCTGTATTCTGATCATCTGTATTCTTCAGAAGTTAGGAGCATTTCTGGATCCTGTGACACTTTCTTTGTTTAAACCAGTTTCTGTATTGTATTCCCTGTCCTGTAGTTAGGAAAAATGAGGCTGACAATCCCATGCCGTGCAGTGACTTGTACACATCTGCAGTGTTTTGATGCTGCCCTTTACCTACAAATGAATGAGAAGAAGCCTACCTGGATTTGTCCTGTGTGTGACAAAAAAGCTGCCTATGAAAGTCTGATATTAGATGGGTAAGTGCACCCTCTACCTTTTTTCTAGTACTGAGAATCTAACCCAGGACCTTATAAATGTCATACCCATAGCCTAGTTAGTGTAACGCTTAACAGTTACTAGCTCTGTGTTCATTAAATCCTAATGTAAATTTTACTCTAGCGTAAAGTCCACGTTTATACATTTTCTGTTTTATATTTAATTATGTCTTACTTTCAAACAATGGTTAGTGGCTCTTTTGTCTTTATACAAGTTCAATGTTCCTTTTGTGTAATGCTTAGAACCATGTTGTTTAGAGTTTGGAGTTTTTCAGATTTTGCTATACTTAAGTTGTATATCCCTAATCTGAAAATTCTTAACCTAAAATGTTCTTCTACTTGTTAGTGCTTAAAAGTGTTTCAGATTTTCATATTATGATGCTCAGCCTATAATATGAATTGTATTGGGGCAAGTGGGTATATAGTTTCCTTTTAATTTTATTTTCTAAGTCATATAGAAGTCCATATGGTAAAGTGATGCTTAGTGATATCATTTTGTCTACCTAGACCTTCTTGTAATAGCAGTTAAGGTCTTTGAAAAAAAACAAAACCAAAAGAAGGTAATAGGATAGTTATAGTCACATTATACCAGTAAGTTTTGATCTATAATTTCATGTTCAGGTTATCCTTATATTAAACATTCTGCTGGGTGCCGGTGGCTCATGCCTGTAATCCTAGCTACTCAGGAGGCTGAGATCTGAGGATCGAGGTTCCAAGCCAGCCCACGCAGGAAAAGCCCGTGAGACTCAGCAATGATAATAAACTACTCAAAAAACTAGGAGTGGCGCTGTGGCTCAAGTGGTAGAGTGATAGCTTTGAGCTGAAGAGATCAGGGACAGCACCCAGGCCCCAGAGTTCAAGGCCCATGACCAAAGGAAAAAAATGTTCTTTGAACATTATATAATTTTCAGTTTTTTAATTTTTAAGATGACACTTTAAAGATTGTATGTCATCCATATACCACTGTTAAGATTTAGAAAGTAAAATTCATGAAACGAATCAATCCTATCCTGTGATGTTTACTTTGTTATTAACATATTAAAAGGATTCAAATCATTTTAATTTGTATATACATACAACTTTCACTATATACAGTGAAAAACAGTGGAAGGGGGGACCAAGATGGCGATGGGGCAGTAGGGAAACGCCACAGCTCTCTCCAA